GTATATTAAGGGAGAAATTAATTAATTAATAAATTAATTAAGAAATAAATGTGACGTTTTTAAATAGGGGGTTGAAGGTACACCCCGGCAGTTTCTAACTGTACAGTTCTTCTCATTGATGTCTAAGAACAACTTTAATAGATTTTGGTAGTTTCAGTTTGTATATTAAGGGAGAAATTAATTAATTAATAAATTAATTAAGAAATAAATGTGACGTTTTTAAATAGGGGGTTGAAGGTACACCCCGGCAGTTTCTAACTGTACAGTTCTTCTCATTGATGTCTAAGAACAACTTTAATAGATTTTGGTAGTTTCAGTTTGTATATTAAGGGAGAAATTAATTAATTAATAAATTAATTAAGAAATAAATGTGACGTTTTTAAATAGGGGGTTGAAGGTACACCCCAGCAGTTTCTAACTATACAATTCTTCTCATTAATGTCCCAGAACAACTTTAATAGATTTTGGTATTTTCATCTGGTTTAATAACAGAAAAATTAATTTATCAAGAGATAAAAACGACGTTTTGTAATTTGGTAATTTCCAACTATAAAGTTATATTCTTTTATGCCTCATAACAACCTAAATACATTTTACCACATTCAGTTTCTCCAATAAGGGAGAAATGAATTTATCGACGAATAAAAACGACATTTTTAAAATGAGGGTTCACAGTGCACCCCCGGAATCAATTTCAAATTTCCAGTGTAGTTGTTGACGAATTGGTATGAATAATTCGGGAATATCAACAATAAAACACAACATCAATAGTTCCAACTACTAAAACAATAACCATTTTATATCATAATCAATAAAAATAAATTTGAAAAAGAAAGTTGGATAAAAACATACATTTCTTTATAAGCACGTGCAGCCCAAAATATTCTCATAGAAGTGGCCTTTAAGGAGTTTTCCTTCATAAGTATATTGTTTGAAAAGCTGAAACAAAAATAATATTGTTTATTATCTGCAATAAAAAAGAAACTATGTAGAATACAATACTTTCTAAAATGCGGAAACAAAATAACAGAATTTAGTTACTTACAAAACAAAAAACTGTTACAAAGAAATTTGTTTACAAATTTCGACTCACATTTATTACATCTATCTTTATTTCACTCTCGTTTAATTTCGCGCTTTTACTTAGGATCATTTAAATTTAAATTTCAAATATTTCTTGTCCTTCATATAGGCCACCCACAGTACTGCAGTGTATCCTCGTCACAGTGCAGCAACAGTTCTCATTTCTTCTAATCGAAATTATATACTTTCGGTTATTTAAAAAGTCAATACACTGTTCTTATTAAATAATTAGTTAAAATAATGCCTCTATTTTCAATTATTAAGCACAATAAAAGCACATGAAGACCTAAGAACCAATTTTAACTCCTCTAATTTGAATTTGTGACGTTAACCATAGAATAAGTAACTGTTGGCCAGTATTTAAATAAGTCGGATTCATTTATACTGATTCAAATTAAATTGTGATTTTCAACTGATCCTAAGTAAAATAAAAGCTTAATTTGTGAAGAATTATAACATAATTATAAAGAGTAATGTTAAAATATCGAACTCATACAATTACTCAGTAGTTATATGATGCATAAATGAATATAAGTGAATCAAATACTTCGTAAATACATCACATTATCGAACACTACTACAAAGAATAATAACTAATTTTGTTATCTATGAGATAAACAATACATAACCTTAATGTTTTGGTGATGATCGAGCTTTACAATAATTAATAAATAATAGTTTATTTATATGTTTAATAAAAGATGATTCCTGTATCAAAAGTACATGTTTATCTTGTAGTTTTACATGTATTGTTTAGTTATATTAATATTGTGAAAACTGAAAACCAAAGCCAATACAACACCAAAACTTTAGAAGATAAAGTAGATTCAATACCCAGCAATTCTACAAAAGACGTCGTTATACGTGAAACAAGCAATAACAATGCAACGCAGAAATTTGTTTCATGTATTCCATTAATGGGTAACTCTGTTGTTGAAATTGTAAATGACACTGAACTTATTCGAATTTTAACATCAAATCCTAATGTAACAAGTAAAGAAACACCAGCTACATGTGTCGTTGTGCTATTTTACTCCAAGTTCTGCCCTTTTTCAAGCATGGCTGCTCCACACTTCAATGCATTGCCAAGAGCGTTTCCCGACATAAAAATGGTTGCTGTTAATGCAATGATCTATCACTTATTTAATACACAAAATGGAATAATTGGTGTACCTTCCATAGTGCTATTTCATAATGGAAGACCAATAACAAAATATAACGAATCTGAATACACGTTGGCATCGTTTTCAAGATTTATAACAAAGCACACAGGAATGGTTCCTAAGGAGGACGTTTCTGTGACAGATGAAGATTTTGAGGGACCAGTTTCTAGCATTCCTGAACAAAAAACGGACATATTCCTAGTACTTTCATGGATATTCATTATTATATGTGGTACATATTTTTTCACACGATCTAAATATTGGAAATGGATAGTTGAAACAGCACAGAACACATGGATGGAATCTGAAGCTCAAGCACAACATGAACATAATGATTAGTATTGTGTAGTATACTTGTCTACATAATAATAAATGTTTGTTTTTGTTAAGCCTTTGCTACTTAATTTAAAATTGTTTATCTCATTAACATTATTTTAAGTAGTGCAAATAATTTGTAAACTACTCAAATGAATCTTTACATTTGCTCAGGAAACTTTTGCTTTTCTCCATAGTTGCACTAATTAATAATTCTAAAATTAAATTATAAGAAGAATATTTAATTATTAGACTTATTGAAACACAAAATTCGAATTTAAAAAATGTGTAGTTTTTCTTTTATCACTGACAATAAGAAACATTTTAGGAAAGTTGTATTATGAAGATATAGACGTGTCCTTTTCTATATGTAAAAGCAACTTAGTAAATTTTATTACTACTAGTAACGTTTACATTATAAATAATTAATTACATACAATACGTGCTTACCTTTGCTCTTATTTATCCACTTATTTAATTAACATCAACTACATTCTTCATACATCGTATTTGTCAATGTTAGTTTACATTAAGGCCCCTCGTTCTGTCCGCTCTCTTCCATTTCAATCAAAATTTCTTGTTCTACTACTTCATTTCCTTCATCCTGTTCGGTGAACTCCTCGCCAAGATCCGCTAGTTCTCCTCCACCCTGATGTTGCTCCTTTATATGGTCCTTGAGGGCAAACGCCCTGGCGTACGACGCTCCACACACCCAACATTTATGCTTCAGATTGTTTTCACGTTGATGCGTATCCATATGAATTCGTACTGCGTACAGAGACGCGAAAGGCCTGTTGCATTCGGTACACGTAAAGGGCTTCGTGTGACTGTTCTTGTGGCCAGCCAATTGTACCCCAGTTTTGAAAGCTTTCGGGCAATAGGGGCACTTGTATTTTCTTTCATCCGAATGAGTCAGTAAATGGTGATTATACACACTGTGGGCCTTGAAACGTTTACCACAGTGGGGACACTGGTATGGTCTAGTACCTGGAAATATACGTCTATTTGAAGTGAATCGGCCCCGAACGATATCGTATTCATACTTATAGGATAGGGATATTAACAAAATAATAAGTTAATTAGTTTCTAAGAAAAGTTGAATATTTCAATCAGACTTGAATTTCTGTTTTAGAATAAAATTGCTTCAAAGACAATTACCTGAATGAGTCCGCAGATGAAGTGTAAGACAGTAGCTAACTCTGAAAGCTTTTCCGCAAATTTGACAAATGTGCGGTTTTTCTCCTGTATGTATTCTTTCGTGTTTAACTTTTTCGTGGGGCCGTGCAAACCTCCGACCGCAAAACTGGCACTCGTACTGCCTCTTCTGGCACTGGGACGTCACATGCTCATGCAAACTCTCATAAGTCAGAAAAGGCTTTTTGCAATACGAACACGAAAACTTTTTGACACCCACATGAACTCTGGCGTGCATCGTTAAGTTTTCACGAGTGTAAAATTTCTTATTGCATATTTCGCAGTTGAAATTCTCATCGAGACTATGAGATTGCGTGTGCACTTTTTCATACTTTTTGTCATAAGTGTTGTTGCACACATTACACACAAAAGTTTCTCTAGCAGTCTGCGAAATATCTTGGGTTTCGCCGCTGACACCGTACGACACAGGAGGTTCAATCTCTTTCAATTTAACTGGATCATGCATACGTGAATGCAATTTGAGTGACTTATAGCTTTGAAATTCTGTATTGCATACATTGCAAATAAACGATCCTGATATTTCTACATCGGTGCTTTCTGTTGCTTGCTTGTTGTCACCCTTGTGAACTCTCATATGTGCACATAACGATTTCGTGCTTGAAAAATAGCAATCACAAAACTGACATTTCTCATTGTGACATTTATGAGAATCATAGCCCTTTGAAGAAAAAAAGTACAAGGGACATGAAGGACATTGATATACATATACATACTTTAGATGTCTTTTGCCTTCATTGTCTTTATTAACTGTACAGACCTGTTCAACAATTGGAGAATGCTGTTCTCTTGATTTTCCTTCCTTATGCCAAAATTTTTCAATCTTTACCATCTTTCTGGTATATGCACGACCATTTTTGTCTACATAAACTCCTTCTTTAATATCGTTTGCATAATTTTTTTTAATAGTAGAACATTGAATTTGGGATTCAATGTCATCATCTAGTCCAGCAAGACCCAAAATTGACTCTTCAGAAACAATTGTAGCATAGTTTTCACTATCTAAAGGCTTGTCTAATTCAATGGGTGCCTGTAAAAAGGCATTACTAAAAAAAATCAAAACATTATGACCACAGATTCACCTCTAGAAAGACTTCATGGCCCTTATGATATTCCTGAATATGCTCTTCAACAGATGTAAAATTTATATCACATGTAGAACAATGGTACAATTCATCACTTTTCAGGTTCTCACTGGAGTTACTGTCTTGCTTGCTAACCTCAGGTTCACCTACAAATAATTGGATATTAAGAGTGTACAACTAGTTTAATTAATGTATTAGTACCACATAAAACTTCATGATCTAAAGTTATTTCTTTACTGTTAAGTTCTTCTTGCAATTCACAAAACTCTGAACTTTCTGACTTACAGTTCAATTTACATTCACTTCCAATATGATCAGCAAAATTCCTAAGTTTTTCGAACTGTAATCCACATATTTCGCATTTCAACTGTTGCGATATTTGAATTAAATGATTTTTAAGAGCACTATAAGTTGAAAACACTTCTTTACAACATAAAGGGCATTCTAGTTGCACTCCGCACATTTCTTACAAGAAAGAAATAAAAATAGGAACAGTTTTTCTTTAGATAATTATTTGAATTAATCAGAAAACCTTCTTTTCCGTTGTAATAATTAGGTCTCTTTTAAATTCATTTGCAATAAATTTACAACTTCACAATAAAACGAAAACAATTCAATTCAATCATATGAAGTCAGGAAAATATTAATCAAAAATACAAATGACATTAAGATTGTCAGTGTCCATAGATAATAGTCAATGTCCATAGACAAGTCAATTTCATAGATACATAATATACACATCACCATAAATAAATGCGAAGGTTACAGGAAAACTGAGTTCTTTATGTCATCTAAGTAAAAAAGCACACCAAGCTTTAATTAGCAGCTATTAAGTCCTTTTGTAACATTTTTAATTAACTTTTAAAATTATATAATCAGGTATTAAATATATAATTTTTTCGGTACGGTTAACTGTACNAAAATATTTAAATAACATTAAAAACAGATTGCTACCACTTCGATAATGGTATAGCTTTCAAAAAATAAAGGAGCTTTTAACTTTGTTTCCTCAGTTTCGGAAATTAGCCACTACATATTATAGAACACATAAACTAACGCATTTTCTTTGTAATACAAGTTTAAAAAGGTTTAATTTACACAAAGATAACGCATTAAAATTCGTAATAAATTTTTAAGGACCATTTGTATTAAAACGAGCCAAAATGTCTTGTTCTGTCGGTCGAGCACATGACTGTTAAAGAGAGCAAGTATTCGGTGAAAGAAAGACAGAAAGTTACGCTCGAACAAAAACCAAAAAATATATTCTTAAACATAAAATGCCTTAAAATATTTAAATAACATTAAAAACAGATATTAACCACTTTGATAATGGTATAGCTTTCAAAAAATAAAGGAGCTTTTAACTTTAGTTTGTTTGTTTGGCAACTTAGCCTCTACATATTATAGAAAAGACAAACTAATGCATTTTCTTTGTTTTACAGTTTAAAAAGGGTTAATTTACACAAATATAACGATAAAGCACCCAAATTCACACTCAAAAAAGTTCAAAAATTGTAAGCTTTGAGAAGTGATGATTATGTAAAAAAAAAGTACATAGAATCTCATGGTGGCATTTTCAAATATAGCAACACTCAAAGCACTCGTCCCCATGAACTTTTAGTGCAAACGAAATACAAATGCATTTGTAACCTATACGCAAACATTACTTCCAAATTGCTAATTAAATGCCTTAATTATACATAGATTAGAAAAATTCTATTGCACTAATACAATATTACATTGTTAGGTACTTACCTACATAGTTAATTAATCGAAATATGAACCTCCAAAGTTGTTGTCAATGCATGACACAAAAAAATAGTTCAATGAGATGGATTTTGCTGTTGATACATAATGGAACATTTTTAATCGTTAAATAAGTAAGTCTCAGTTACTTATTTATGTTTAAAAGTACGATTTGAAATAATTATGTACGCACTCGCGAAATTCGAGTGTTTAATAATTCGTAAAATTGTGGATTAATTTTTAAATTTAATCCGACTATTTAATGTTTATTCATTACAAAGGAACGCGAGACGTGTAACTTCACACGTACATACAAACATATTATTTCTCCAATCAGATTACAAACAAAGCAGCTATTATCAGAAACAAGGACAAGGACGATGACAAATAGATAACACTTAGTCAACATTTTATAGTTTTACGATTAATGAAATAAAATACAAAGCCTTTTATAAACGAAAGAGAAATTTTAGTTTTAAAAACCTTTTGATAGAAGATTAAATTACGAATGATTTTTTTTTGTTTTTATATTGCTAAACTAAAAGGAGAGGCACACCGAAGCTACATTATTTTTAATAAAAAAATAGCCAGTTTTGATTAATAAGGATTTTCTAGAAAATTAATAACATTATTAGAATTTGATACTATCATTTTCATTAATAACAAAAAATTTAATTGAATAATAAATCCCAAATAATCCCTAGAACGTTTGTGTCCGCATACTTTAACTATTAAAACTTTTATCAATTGTAAGCTATCAGACTTCGTATAAATAATTACGATGTACAGTACACAACGTAAAAATGCCCTAATACCACCCACATTAGACTAGAATAGTCAAAAACGTTTATTTACATCGACAGACTAATGAAATCATAATTGTTTTCTTACACTGCTTATGTACCAAAGAAGTCTAAATAAATTATTTTGTTAAAATCGAACAAGTTAGTTGCCTACAAATTTCGACTCAGACTGTAACACTTCTACACTTATCATTTTCTTGACTCTAGGGCACTCTGTAATTTTGCGGGAAGGTACTAACTTAATTTGAATTTAAAATTGGCGTAATTTTACTCCAACATATCGGCAACCCACTGCACTGCTAAGTATTGCCATCGTCAGCGCAGTAGCAATTCAAAGTCAAAATTATTAAAGACACCGTTTTCAAAAAGAACGTTTTTAAAATATACACTAGTAACTTTTAGACATATAATTTGACTCTGTGTCTAATCACAATTACTTTATTACTTTTTAATTCTTTCAAATCCATAAGGGAGACCTATTTCATTAAAAAATTAAAACGACTTTTCAAATGGGGGTTGAAAGG